ATTAAAAAGCACGAATGAAGCAAAATCATATTTAGTTTGGATAAAATAGTTAACTTTTTTTTTAATTTTGCAACGTTTTTTCTCTGCGTGCCTACTCAAAATCAACAGTATTCAGCAAACAATACAAAACAGCTCGTCTTTGAAATTAAACAATAATGGCGACAGGAAAGTGTGGTCATAGTGCCTCTGCTAATGTCGATTGAGGGAGTGGTACCTCGCTGTACGCCACAAACTTTCACAAACCTGTGTAACCCTAAAAGTTTAGTAGCAGATGTGCAAAAATCAATTCCTCAACTTGCCACTGCAAAAACCACCGCATGCGCGAGATTACAATGCAAGATGGCTATAATTGTTTATAATTCCAAACTACAAATGATACATGCCAGAGCAAATACAATAATAGGAGGTTTCCATCTAAGGGAAGGTATTGTTGAAGCCAACTAAGCCTAAAAATTAATTATTAATGATAATTAATGGCTCTACGGCAAAGACTCGGAAATTACAAATATGAAAATAAGAAAGAATCGAGATGTTCTAAAAAAGCGAGAGAAAGGAAAGATGTTTTACTGTAATGTTAGTGAACGACCGTCCAAATAAATGCGCACATATCGTCCTGTCATAAATATTGGCCTCATTTGTTTCTAATGGATATAGTAAAATCATTTATTTTATATTTATTAATTGTAAAAGCTGTCTGGTAGGAAAAGCACTTTTTTGGTACACTTAACAAATGTGATCGATCGATATTTATATTAATATCCGTACTAAATGTTAGTTTTTCATGAAGATATGATGCAACAGCCGTATCAATGCGGCATGCCGCTGAACCATAGGAAGTCGTTCCAATTCTTCAAACTATCTGCTTCCACATAATCCCATATACAGGGTTTTTTTCTAAACATTTTATTTTCAATATCTGTAATACCACTTTAGATATTTTAATGAAATTTAGCACGCATGTACTATGTCTCAAGGGGCATTATTTAGTGTACCACATTTTTTTAAATACACCTTTATACTATAATAGCTTTATTAATGACAATGTTTAAAAAATTAATATATAAAAACAAATGAATATTTTTCCTAAATACGCTACTACAATACTAAATGACAGCCAATGGAGGTGTTATTGAAAGCATTTCACATTACAGATATTTAGACACCATCATAAACGATAAGGTAGATCATAACCAAGAAATCGTAACAGACGTAACAGAGTGCTTTGGGAAAGCACCCTGTTACCTGACATTTTAAAAAGCAACTCTCGATGTTATGTAAACGCTACGGGTAAAGCTGCATCATCATGAGCGTCTTTATAGTTATTTCCTGTTCGTAAAATCAAATGAACAAAAAAATCTAGCAATTCGCTTAAAGAGGACAAGAATAAATATTACGTAAACCATCTAAAAATGCGTTCAATAAAAGTTAATCAAATTAAAGGTAAACATAATCATAAAGAAAAAAAGGTGACCTGACTTAATTATAATATATAAATTTAAATTATAATATATAAATAAAATTTAATAAAACTAACCAAAACTAATCAAAACAATTAAATAAACATAGTTCCGGGATGCAGTGTCCAGTAATCTTTTGGAATTTGTAATAGTTGCCATTGTTTAACTATTGGTCCACATAATTAATAGTTCACTAAAACTTTTCCCAGTTTTCCCAGAACAGCTAAAACCTGCTACAGTTATGCCAGTTTTTAAAAAATCGGATGAAAGTCAATTTGAAAATTACTGTCTCATTAGGTTACGTTCAATGTTATCGATGATATTTACAATTACAATCTACAATGGCTGCTCTGTTTGACTTTATTACTTGAATCTTGAGCGAGCAGGAGAAGAGCTCTCTTCTTTTTACTTGACTTGAAAAAAACATATGATATCTTACAGTATGATATTTTATGCAATGCTTCTATATGGTATTCGAAATGTGCAGCTAAAATCATATCTAGCATATCGAGCAGATAGAATGGAATAAGTAGCGATATGTACCGACAGAAATAAGAGATATGTATGTAAGATATGTATGTTATAGGTATGTGAATGCTGCATCATGAAAATTTTGAAAGTCGCATAAAGCATGGACTACTGGAGAAGTTATAGGACATTGAGACAGTTTTTATTGTGGAAAAGCATGTAATGAGAACAGTTCTGCTTTTAGAACGTAGACAGTCTTGCAAAGGAAAGCTTAAAGTACAGATACGATAGTGTTCATACAGGAGTGACGTACTTTTTAAGACATTTTAAGACATATAAAATACAGTACGTTTCAGCTAAAAGTAGCCATCTTCACGTGATAAATTACAAACAAAATGATTGGCAGCTCTGCTATTTCAGTCACAAGTGCCCGGGTATCTTAAATGAGGATAGCGATATTCTTTTCTCAAGACTTGTAATAGTTATCAATTTTAAATACAAAAATTCATTGGTACAAACATCAACTTTGGAATTTTACGCAGACACGCCATATTTTTTATTACGTTTAATTCTGCACGGTTTAGAAAATATTTAAGGTTATGTTCACTTGCTAGTGCAAAAGAGCCTATTAAGAAAAGCTGATGCTGTATGCTGTAATCCGAATCATGGAGGCAAAGTATTCTACTTGCATTGCAGTAAATGGGAGATATATAGAAAACAAATTGTCAAATGCCAATCTTTAAATTATTGTAAATTATATTTATTATCTCTCTGCACATTCGTCATTTAGATGTAAAATAAATGGTTTCCTTAAATCATTCACAATAAAAGCATTTGTTTAAGTTTACGATATTGTTATATTTTTCTTTCTTAGAGATCTTAGTAATGACAAATTTCGAAACTCGAATTAAAAAAAGACACCGACACTCCGAACTAAGACTAACTAGTTAGCCTAATATCAATTTTGCGCGCTTATCCTAACATTCTGATGTTTCAATAAAAACTCAAATATGAAAGTTACTATTGTTATTACCGCTAAATGCAAAAATGTATTTAAGTATAGTTAAATAAAGTTGTTGTCGATATCAAAAATTTAGTGCGCCCTGTATAACCCAAAATTGAATATTCATAAAATTCCATTAAAGACAAAGAACTTAATAACAGGTTGTGACAAAACTATATGGGTCACCTTAAATGAGACACCTTCAACACCTTGTTATTTATAAACTGAAGAGGGATTATTGGGGCCGAAATAAAAAAAGATAATGTTTATTTAACTGAGAAAACCACGGACAATTATATAACCACAATATAAAATCCTGTATTACTTTCAAATCGTTTCGAATGCTGCTTGGCGAGAGACACTCCTTCGACGTTTTTCTGGCGTTCAAGAGCGCTTGCGTTTTATAAAATATTCGATTTTGCAACGTTTGCAGTTCCTTCAAGGTAAAACGGTTCGCGTAGGTACGTATGAAAATGTATAAATAATGAATATCGTTAATTATCGTAATTGTCGTGAAACCGACGCGGTGAAACTTGGATGTTATTAATAAAGGACTAAAATATTGTTAAAGTGCGTAAGTATAAGTTATTTCGGAAGTGTATGGACTAATAAAATGGGAAATCCCATCCACTTCCAGTCAACTTTGGTGTAAGCAACCTTTGATCCCTATGTGATATGGAGAGTAGGAAAAGAATATTTGATACATTGGTTGACATACTTGCCACATCTACCTAAATCAGACACTAAATTTTTTAATGGAATGGCCTGTATATTACTACATATTTGGATTCTTTGAAAAATTCTGAATCTTTCTGTGTAACGCATGTTTAGAACAAATTTTTAAGATAAAAATAATTTTTTGGAAAATTTTGAAAAAATACATCTGCCATGAAAGTAATTAACTATATTTTAACCTTTTTAGATAAAAGCTCTGAAATTTTGCTTATGGCTTCCCGATAGGACGCTTTATGATAGTATGATATGAAACATTATCGCATACAGGGTATATAAAACAGCATGAATATTTTGCCAAAGACGCTGTATTTCATTGGGCCGATTAAAGAATGATTTAGTCCTGATCAAAACCATACTATACAATATTTTCAAGCATTTTGGAGTTAAAATTAAAAAAATGCCTATATTATTTTTTCAGTTGGTTTAGACAGTATTTATCAAGCAATTTATTTTATTTATTTTGATATGGAGAATTTTTGTGTTCTAACAACGATTTACTAAATTTATTTATTTGATATTCAAGTGCAATAATATTATAACAAGCACGGGCAATAAATTCAATGAATGAATGTTTTCTGTTATCAACTCTCTTGTTTGTAGAGCCGTAAAACTATCTCAGCCCGAGTCACTGATCCCAGAAATAAAACACATCTGCACTTCTTTCTAGTAATTTCCACATTAAACAGATTAGGCGTTCCATCACAAAAGTACACTTTACCATAACCTTCCAATATCAATGAAGCCGAAAGCAATTCCACACTCCTCTCTGTTGTCCTTTCTTACATTCAAAACATTACTGACCACATATCAAAAGTTCTGAAGAAATATAACGTCAAAATCAGATTTACCACTTGTTAAAAAATTAAGGTTCAAAGAACATGATAGAGCCTTATAACTCATCAGCAATTGCTGAACACAATCAAGAAACCGGATATCAAATTTCATTCGACAACACTAAAATTCTTGCATGTAATCAATTCTTATTGTTATCTTTTTATGGATATCTTGCTGGAACACCTTTGGGATTCCATTTTCAGTGAATCAACTTAAACTTGATAAAAAGCAAGAGCTTTGCAAAGAAATCAACCTTGAAAAGGGCTTAAATATGCGTTGGGTCACTATATAGTAGTTAAGGAAAAAAACCATTTCCTTAAGTTTGTAGCCACGATATTCTCCGTCTTCCCAGTCTTTCTCGTTTTATGAATTGTAACAGGATGTATCGATGTCTGTTACGCATTATGTAGCCTAGATATTCAAACTTTGGGATTTCACAATATTCAAAATTTCCAAGTGTTTGCTCTTTCCGCTTAGAATTTCTTGACTTTTAATATGCTCACCATGTGACATTTTCACGATTCTTCTATAACACCACATCTCAAATACTTCAGGATTCCCCCTACTTCGATGGTTGATGAATCTACTTTAGTTTCAGTTTAAGCTCTGAAGAAGTCAACAGGATGATTGTCGGAACGTCAGCAAGTTCGTTTCAACAACAACCGACACTCTGTTATTGTTCCAGATTCTACTTCATGCAGGAGGACTGAGAACAGAATTAAAGACTTTGTACATTTAAGTGAAGACTAATCGTACCTTTTCTATTTGAGTAGCAAGGTTCCAGATAGTATTTGGTTCTTCCAAATGATCATATATTTTGTTTTTGTCACATTAAAATCTAGACCACATCTTTGGCTGGTTTCCGCTACTAAGGTTCGTAGAGCCTCTAAACTGTCTTCCAAGGCGGGCCCAGTTATATATTGAGATTAAAAATTAAATAGAATTGATGAGAGTATACACCCCTGACTTCTCTCTCTCTCGACGCTCTCGTCTGGTCCACGTTAGCTTTGTTAGCTGTCTTAATTGTATACCAATTGATTTATCGACCTCATAAAATTTAGTGAATTTGGTTACTAAATATTATTTTTGCCTTGATATTAGTATAGAGTGCTCTATTTCCTGTTGAGCAATAATTTCCTCTTTTACCTCATTATATACCTTTATATTTACTGACCAATTACCAAGCCAATATTTTAATGAATATTGGCCTACAAGCAATAATCTTTAGTAACAGACGAGCGACATTACCCAGCTCTGGGTCGCTTACAACAAAACCGCTCTACATCTACTAAACAATAAACGACTCACCTTGAACACACTCGAGCAATACCATCGAGAGCAGCAAAACTGCACCTCCGCTCATCCTAACCCGTGACATTTTCCAAACTGGCAAAGTATCCAAATCACCGTGTGCGAAACGCGTCTCGATCAGTCAATATTTTCAACACCGCATCACATAATCACAGCAAACGCGCCGCGAAATGCCAAAAAAGTATCGATCACTGGTACCGGTGCCCGGAAACGACTGTCTGCACCCGGAACGCGGAAAATCGTGTCGCGATCGTCAGTCGCGACCCACTTCTTGCAAAAGTAAAACACAGCGACGCTGTTTCTTCGTCTTCGGCGGAGGTAGTACTGGTACTCGACGCGGCCCCGCTAAAGAAGGCACCCAGTCACCTGTCCGACGAAGGCCCGGAGGTAGAAAGCTGCTCGTATACGTACCGACGCATTCTTGCCGTATAATGACAACCTAATAATTATTTTCCAATGCTTTTCTAAATTTGGTTATGAGGACCTACCGGATAGGCGAAAAGATATTTCGATCGCCTCGCCAACCTTTCCTCCAAATCCTTGATTGATTGAAGACAGCTTAATCAACAATTTTCAAACTTTTAAAAGTTGATTTTGATCTGACATTTGGTTTTGTATAATTTCGTATAATTTTCGAAGCTCTCCCTGCTTGGCAGAAAAACTTTGTTCAAAAGATTTTTTATTACATTCCATGTCCCTTTTGGATGATCGGCAATAATCTGCCATCATTGCACCATTCCATCGTCCTTAATATCTGCGTCCATTTATTTTATATCTTGGTGAAACCTCTCACCTTGCTCTTCACTCACAGAACCAAGATTTTTAGGAAATTAGTTCCGACGTGACTGTAAAAAGTGTAGTTTTATAATCATATTGCATCCCATTTCCATACATTTTTCTAACATGTTTTCTACAATATTGCCCTTCCTTTATTTTTAAATCTGAGAGAACGGGAAATTTTCCACATAGGTATTTAAAACATGGTCCACAATTTAAAGCTTTAGCGTACTGCTTTTTCGTCGATCAATAGCACTTTATATATATTGACTAATAGAACTAATAGAACTCCCACAATTTTAAGTCACCACAAATCATCGAACTGTCGTCCTTGTATTTGATTTCCTCAAGCAGTAGTTCCAGATTATCGTAGCATTTCTTCATTTGCACAGAATGAGCAACAAGTACAGAAGGAAGAACAAGCAAAAGAACAGCTTAAGGTTTCTCTCGGACGAGTCAATAAAAAGCCTGCAGTCCTCACAATTGCAGTCTGCAAGTTTCTTTATTAGATTAGAAATATGGGTGCAATAAACGCTTCATGAAATAAGAGATTTTAAAGTCTTATTCAACTCAATTTTTATTTCTAGATACTAAAATTTCGGAAAAATCCTTAAATAAACCAATGTCTCCTACTAAGTCATTATGTTCTGATGCTGAATAACTGCGGTTGCTGAAAAACACTCGGTATAACACCAGAAAAACTGACGGTATCTTCTTTTAAATTAGCTGGATTCGCTGGTAGCGGGGCCATGTGGTACTGGCCTCACAACAGACTGGAGGTTCGGAAAAACAATGTTTTTTAAATTTTTAGTATTATATCCACAAACATTACACATGCAGGAATGGCAGGCATAATAGTGATTTGTTGGCTTCCTAATATCATAGGTATTCCAACTCCAAACCTTCTTCACATACCTCACTATATGTGGTTTTGATCACCAATTTTTACTTTAAAATAAGGGTGGTATTTTTTTTAACAGGGGTATAATTTAACATCTAAATTTTTTGACCACAAAAGAACCACATTTAAAAAAGAAATTTAACTGCATAATACTCACTAACCTTACGAAGCCTACAAGAAACGCAGTTCACGATAAACGGGCTTTCTTCAGCACATGCTGCCACGATCTGACGCGGCAATATTTGGACTACACATTTGGAAATCCCAGAATACTAGTGGGAATTTTCCACTAATTTTCTGTTACTTTATGAAAAATGTATGTAATGTTAATGTTCCTGTTTTTAAAACTATAAAACGAAAAATACCAAATCACAAAATCTTTGTTGGTCTGTGTATTAAGGTTATAGAGCTTTTGGAGGTCACGTTATTCGGAATCAATACTCTTTTCAATACATTCACCAGCAAACAAACGAAAACAAATAGAAAACTAATAGTTCGCATATAAACAATATCAAAAAACTTTAGAATTTAGATTAAATAGAAAAAAAAAAGAAAAAAGGAAATTTTAAAATAGGAGAAAATCTTCACACAAAAAAACACAAAATAAAAAAAGAAATAACACATGTGGTATACATGCTATCGGCATTAATAAAACCTTCTGATTTCCTCTTAAATACATCTGTTTCATGACAGGGGACATGATACATCATGTGGGGTTAAATTCTTATGACCATTACTAGATTTATAATATTATATGAGATAAATAAAGAGACCAGAAGCTTACTTTTTGCGAGTTTACATAAAAAGCAACTTATAGCTTATTATATCAAATTTACCCGGCCAGAATTCTTCAGACTATCTGATACTCCATCAAACTTGCGCAGTCCATAGTACTCCTTATTAATTAATTGTTTATGCAAATATAGTGATTTAAGTTTAAATTATGATTTTTGGAATATTTTATTTATTATTAATTTATAATATAAAAACTTATAAAAAATGTAAGCTATGTAATGTTATGTTATGCTTGCTTGAATTTGGTTCCTAAACCTACCATTAGTAGTAAAAAAGTTCAACTGCTCGTTCTCATTGGCCAGTTGAGCCATTGGTACGGTACAAAAAATATACTATTTAGACAAGTTATTCGTATTGGTGGCAAAAACCCAATTTTTGACATAATGGAGTACCAAAAACAACTGCAACAGCAACATCAGTTCGGCCTCGTCACGACGAACTTTAAATGTTTTCAAACCTAATAAGTTTTCAAGTGCTACATAATAGATGTTAGTTGGCTCAAAAACGTGTATTAAGGAGTATTGCGCACATATGCAAGTTTACATCTTATAGGGGTTTATTTGTGCAGTACAGAATTCTCAAACTGGCGAGTCTTCCTATTGTTGAAATTTCAATGTATGTCTTTAACAATTTATCAAATTTTAAGTTAGTTGATGGCGTGCATTCTAAGTATACAAGACAGAGCGGTAAGCTGCATGTTCCCTACTGTAAGCTGTCGACGACTTCGAGGTCACCGGATTATTTGGGTGTTCGAACTTTTAATAATCTGCCAATAGAGTTAAGAGACAAACGTTTAAAACCTTGTCTATTTAAATAACGATTAAAATTATTTGTGTTATCCGAAACATTTGATAGTCTAGACGAATCTTTCTTCTGAAAGTATATTTCGTAAAGATGCAGAATTCCAAATAAAACGCTAAGCATTCTGGATATGCAAAACAAAAATCTACCAAATTCTTGATTGATACATAATTAAATAATGTTTTTATTTAAAAAAGCTACAAATACCACGATTTCAAACTGATATTTGATTCTGTATAATTTAATCCCCCTTAAATTTGAATCTGATAAGCATATTCCTCTACCGCGTAAGTTTTTTTATCAACATTGAAAGAATTATTGGATGAAAATCTCGGTTGATGTATTTTTATTAGTACAAGAACAAGTAGTCAGAATGTGAGTGAAAAAAGTGTACCTTATCCATGCCATCCCATTTATCTAAATTTCTTTAACATGTTTTCTACAATGTCTTCCTTCCTTTAATTTTGTATCTGATAATGCGTGAAATATTCCACATAGGTACTTAGATTATACTCCCGCTTTATTTACAGCTTCAACGTACTGCTTCATCAGTTCTAATTTACTATGCAACGGTGGTAAGAGAATTTTTCGTATCCTAACTGATGATCTAGTAGAAGTCCTACAATTTTTACGTCAACACAAGTTATCGAACTATAGTCCTTGTATTTAATTTTCGTAAGCAGAATATCGGTACAATAAACAAGTGAAAATACTAAGGATATCTATTCCAGGTTAAAAAAAATGTGTTTTTTTTTTCACAAAACTCAACTAGTGATAGATACTTATACAGAATGTCTAAATAATGTACCAAAGTAAAGTTATTATTTGTTTTTAGAGAAAAATATCAAATACAAATAAAACTATTTAATAATAAAATTATCTTCAAATATACAAGGTGATTTAAGAACACTGTGTATATTATATCATCAATAGATACTCCATTTTATTCTCAAAACTCAAGTGTTTTCGGATTTATGGCCATATTTCCCGCATTCCTTATACCTAACTTAGTATTTTTAGAGGCGTACACATTTTTACGAACAAAATACTGAAATATATCAAACTATGGGAAAATATCACAAAAGATTGATAAAAAATAAATATGACTTGAACGTCAAAAGTCTACAGAGACTAATTAAGTATAATTCTTTCAGATAATAGCATTCATTACGTGGATAATTTATTAAATCCAAAATTTAAATAAAAAAATTATGAACTGGGCAACTTTGGAAAAACAATTTAAACAGTATTTCATGCCAGGGATAATACTAAAAACGGAATATTAATATTGCTAGTTCCAGAAAAAAAAATACTTTAAAACTAAGAACAAGGCTGCAAACAAGAAAGAATTATTATCAAGGAAGAATTGTCAAGTTTAGGTTAGTCGTCAGTTGTACCTATTATGTATTTTGACTATTCCTATACAATTTTGCAATTTTCTTTGGGAAAATAATAACAATTAATATTATATTATTATTATTATTTGATTTTTTCAAGGAAATTAATATAGACAAGCATAATATAAGTGACTGTAATACTTTATAAAATTGTTTGCTTAGTAAAATTACAGCTGTCGGAAATGACGTGTAAAATACAATCTTAAACACAGGAAATTTTTGTCGAAAGAATGACCATAAATTCGAAGAAAGTGTAAAAAAATGATTGACATGGAGAACACACATTTTTAATAACAAAAAAGAGCTGGAACTCAGACTACAGGAGCTCTACTGTGTAAATGGTTGAAAATCTAAACTATCATTACAAAATAAGATTCTTGTATAAAAAACAATTATAAAACGAGTCTGGGCATACGGCTTACAGCTATAGGGATCTGCCTCTCGGTCAAACTTAGAGAGATAAAACAGAGATTTCCACTTCCCTTCAACTTACAAATTCCCACCAACAAAAATGAATAGAATGCTGGAATAAGAGATACAGAGACAGAGTAAAACTATATCCAAACGTGCTCGCCAATGAATTATTTAACACAACAGTGAAGTGTTGCCTTATGTACTACTTAATTTA